GGGGGGGAGCTCGAGCTTAGTGGAGTGCATTGGCAACATAAATTGTGTGAAATATGTCGAAATATTGGAGGAAAGACTCTTGCCACTTTATTCCTCGGGTTTCGTGGACAAGAACAAAACATTGTTCCAGGAAGATGGAGCACCGTGTCACACTGCTAGAAACACCATAAAGTGGCAGGAAGAAAATGGTATCCAGAAGTTGCCCTGGCCGAGCCAATATCCTGACATGAACCCCATCGAAAACCTCTGGGCCATACTCGACCGGCAAGTCAAGAAAAAAACAAAAAACCAACTTCGAAGCGCGATCTACTCCAAGCTTTGAAGCAAGAGTGGGCAAAAATCCCACAATCTAAAACTGACGAGATGATTCTCACGATGCCCCAAAGAATCAACGAACTTCACGAAGCGAAAGGAAGATCTACTAGATATTATTACTTCATTATAAAAACTTTTCATTTCTGTCAATACGGTTGTGTTTGGTTATTCATTTTTGATTATGAATTCATTACCACTTTGGAGGTTATGTGTTCTATCAGCACATTTACACAAGCTTCAGATGGTGGTACTTCACTGGGGAATTATCGGTTTTACTTCATCAAGAGATTGATCATCCAATAAGATGACCCTTCACCACGCCTTGACTTGAGTTTGGGGGGGTCACACATTTTGAAATACAGTCTGCCAACTCTGGAAAGATAGGACATTATACTGTTATAATTTTTGAGTAATTTTATTGTTAATATTATTATTATCTGTAGGTATTTGGGTTCCACAACATAATTTTCATCAGATTGGTCAATACTCATAGTCAAGTTCAGATTTGAAATTAGGCTTAGTTGTATCCTTTGTTCTATACCATTTGGTTAGGCTTAAGATGGGTCTTTGTTATTTTAGGATTACCTGTAATTCATCTTATTGGTATATCCTTTGATAATCCTATCCATTTTATCCCTTACCTTGTTTTTCAGCATCAGTCTTACCTATTAACTTACCTACAGGTAATGTTTACCTTACACCTCCTTTCTTTGGCATTCCACTTCTATTTAGGGATATTTGTGGGATACCTCCTTCCTTCCTTCCTTCCATGTTAGGGGCATTTGCCATCTACCGTTCTTTCCCTCCACATGTGGCTTCTTTGGGATCTTCTGGGGTGAGACACTATCTAGTACCATTTGTTTACCGTTCACTTCTAATAGGGACTCACAGTCAGCTCTTTTTCTCCATCAGTCTGTACATTTAGCATCACCTGGGGTACCTGCGATGCTGTATTCTCTTTTCTTTTCTGATAGGTAATTACCTCTCTTTCACACTTCCCACCCTTCCTCCACACTGAAAACTGGTGCTTTCATTTTCTGCCAAAATTCGGTGATAGTTTGGTAGAAGTGAATAGAGGGAGTCGCATGTGTCAAGAGTGTCACACACCTGTTGGTGGAGGGTTGTCACATGATGATTTACACATGAGATGCAGTTGAACCATTTGATTATAAGGTGTATGGGAGCTCAAGGCTTGTGGCATGCAAAAAAAGATTTTTGCATGTAGAGGGCAGCACTGAATGAGAAGAGCTAATTATGTGAGAAGATGTAAATACCAATAAAAAATATATTTTCAATTTAGGAAAATTATGACTTGTTTTTCCGTGTTCATTTTTTGCTTAAACCAGTGTTCATTTTTAGCTGCTTTATACTTTATTTAGATATCGTAAAATTGATGTTTTTAGGATTTCCATTTTTAGTTTTATGTAGGTACCTTAAAATTTGTGTTTTTGGAGTTTTGGGGTTTTAATACTGCAATGAGTATACTGAAACACTGTTTATTCTCTGCACCCTAATTTCTTTTATGGGAGTAATTACAGCTACCAAACATAGTTCTATTTGTTAAAACTTTGTAAGAGCAGCTAATATTTTATATGAAATTATAAAAACAAATTTACCACTAACAGATGAACCTCAGGAAAGTTGGATGGTTAATGTAAACTGAATAATCATTTCCAGTGTTTATTGGGAAGTACACCAATTTTATTTTGTTTTTTGTATCAAGGGTGTTTATCAATTAAAACTGAAAATTAGAAGCCCTGCATGTGTGTGTGTTACAGGTTTTAAGTGTGTACTGTGTGTGTGTGTGTGTTGCAGGTTTTAAGTGTGTACTCTTTGTGTGTGTGTGTGTGTGTTGCAGGTTTTAAGTGTATACTCTTTGTGTGTGTGTGTGTTACAGATTTTAAGTGTGTACTGTGTGTGTGTGTTACAGGTATTAAGTGTGTACTGTGTGTGTATGTGTTGCAGATTTTAAGTGTGTACTCTTTGTGTGTGTTGCAGGTTTTAAGTGTGTACTCTTTGTGTGTGTTGCAGGTTTTAAGTGTATACTCTTTGTGTGTGTGTGTGTGTTACAGGTTTTAAGTGTGTACTGTGTGTGTGTTACAGGTTTTAAGTGTGTACTCTTTGTGTGTGTGTGTATGTGTTCACACATCTATGTCAACTACATTTGTGAAACTGTCAACTCTACTGACATTTAGATGTGTATATGTAACTTTGCTTCTAGATGATTCAATTAAATGTTTGATTTGTAGATATTTAGGACTAGACTGTCTGTTTTTTGATATTTTAATTAAGTGTTATTGAAGGTATGGAAGTTATTATTGTATATGTTTATTACACGAGATCTTTCTGAGGTATTAATTTTCGCTGGTATAGTTACTGTATTAGGCATTGATGATTTTTCCTGTGAATATATATTAAAGAATCCTTAAGTACTATTTTTTATCCTTTCTCTAAGAAAACTAATAATATTTGCTTCCAACTGCAATAACTTCTGGAAGAAGCATAAAAAAGATTTCTTACTTATGATTAATCATTACCAAAATAGCTCTTGAACTTCTGATGAGGCAAGCCAGAAAACCAGATTCTCCTTTAAAGGGTCATGAACGGACAATTCAGTATCTTCAACACCTAGGTGAGACTGTTGTAAAAACTTAAGATACACATTGTTTCTGTGAAGAATTTCTAATAATTCTTTGTTATTGAGGCTGCACCATTACCCTCATAGATTCTAAAAATGGCTTGTTTCCATAGCTACTGATAATTGTTCATATCCTTCTTATGTTGTGAAATTATATAATTTCTAAATGTGTGAATTTGAAAAAGATAAAACTAATTTTTGGTTTAAAATGTTTCTGAAATGTTCCTTCAAGGTTTTCTTCAACTAGTTAACATTTATTGTACAAACATTTGAACAGTACAATGTGTGTACATTAAGAAAGAATCTAGTATATTGATTTGATTATAATTATTTTACTTTTCCCAGGAGCTGAGCACTTAGAACTAATTTTCGAGTTTGCTAGTTGGGTTTTGAAAGAAAGTCCAGAGGACGGTCTAAAAGTGAGCAATATTATTTTCAGTTTTTGTAAACAGCCATTTTTCAATAACAGTGTTAACATTATCAGTATTAATTCCAGATAAGTTTCTTTAATTCTATAGATATTTATAGTGAAAAATAAAGGTTTTAATAAAGTACACATTTTGTAGATTTTTACAGAAGATTTGCCTGAGACTGAAGGACTACCACGAAAAGAAGTGCTGGAATATTTAACAAGGACAAATCCTTCTGTCATTATTCCCTATTTGGTATGGTTTATTTATTTATTTTTTTCATGTTTCTGATAGTGAGTGGAAGTTGGGAATGTAAATGAAAAGATCTACAGTGGGTGTACATATCAGCGTTATGTGCTCATGATAGTTGAAACAATATGCAAAATCGTATCTACAATGAGTGTACAGTTAAGCCCTCCCTATTAACATCCTAACTATGTTCTTTAGAACTGTGATATTAGTGGGGACCCAATTCCCCATTGTTATAAGTTGTAGTTGTGTTCCAGCACCATTATTTAACATCCTACATATGACAAAAGTCAAAGTATAATACAATAATGAAAATTGATAAAGAATATGTGCCATAGTACAATATTGAAAAAAGGTTAAGCTGGCAATGGTTTATTGGGGAAAAGGTGGAGTTGGATCCTCTTTCCTCCTCTTTAAAAAACTTATTTAAGTTATTTGCAATTGTCTTGCCTGCTTTTTTTTCTCTCTCTTAAAATTCCTGGTAGCCTGATAGAGCTGCTGCACCTTGCCTCGTCAGAATACTGCTCCACTCACAGTTAGTCATTCTCAACAAAGAGTGCAAGACCTTCATTAATTTTGCAAAAATCCTCTGACATGTTCTTGTATGTCAACTCAACAACTTATTTTATTTCCTCTGGCTGCTCATCTTCTGCTGCATCTTTCATAAATCATTGCCGATCTAATTCATTTAAAGTTTTCATTGGACAGACCTTCTCCATGTGATTGAAGCAACTCTTCCACGTCTTCATCCTCCTCTCCCTCCAGTCCTGCATTGTGGGCAAGGTTGACAATTTCTTCACAGACTACTGGTATTCTTTCTTAAAAACCCTTAGTCATAAATGCATTCCGGGTCATATCTTCCTCCAAACTCTGTTCATACAACTATCAGTGATTTCTTTCCAAATATGGTCAATGTTGTCAGTTGGTCTTCATGATATTATACAAACACCAGAAGTTCCTGATTGTAAGGTTATCATTAATAACTGTCTCATTAAATAGCTGATGAAAGGTACGACTTAGATAATACACCTTGAAGGGCACTATGATCCCTTGATCCATTGATTGAATGAGCAATGTTGTGTTCAGAGGGAAAAACACATTCTAGACTGGAATGCAAGTCTCTGAATTGTAAAAATGAGAATGGTGACCAGGAGCATTATCTAGGAGAAGTAAGGCATTTTTTTCCAGTTTTTTTTCTCAATGCATTATTTGTCAATGCATCAGTTGTTACCCAATTTTGCAATTGGAATACCAGTAGATGTGGCTTCAAAAATCTTTTCATAGCTCGTTACATTTTTGCATGGTACACTAGCATTGGTTTCAATTTAAAGTCTCCTGCTGCATTACCACCAGGGTAAGCCAGTCTTTTGCGGCTTTAAATCCCGGAGCAGTCTTCTTTTCAAAGAAATAAACTTATGGGAAGGTATCCATTTCCAAAATAGCCCCATTTCATCTGCTTTGAAAACCAATTCAGTAGTATATCTGCCACTTTTGTGATCTCCTTTAATTTGTCTGGAAATTTCAAAGCAGTTTGGTGATTGACACTAATGACCTAGCTTGTCATTTTTATGCTATGTAGATCATTTCTTTGCCTAAAATGGTCAAACCGACCTTTAGTTGCAGCAAAGGTCCCTGCTATTGAACTTTCACCTTCCTCCTCATGTAATTCCTCACATACAATTTTATCTTTCTCCATTACCAGAGCCTGGCTTAGTGGCTCATGATTCTAATTTTGTCAGTAACTCACATTGTTACTAATCTTTTTAATTTTTTCTAAAATGCTGTTTCTTGTATGGCTTAATTTACTTGAAGCTAATGGCATTTTGGCATGAGCTGAAACCTTTATCTTCTCTCCATTTTTGAGGTTTTTAGTTAAGATTATTACATTTCAAGTTACTTTTTTGCTCTCATTACCTGCAAGACTACTTGCTGATCACTTTAGTGCCATAATTCCAGTGATGTAAGGGTAATTTTAAAAGAATATGAGTGAGTGCTACAACTTAACCCTATGGCCTCTTATGCGAAACAGAAACTGTAAGTGGGGATGACGTTAACCCTTTCACCCTGGGTGTCCTTTACTATGCATGACAAAGTTTGTTTTACATTAAAAATTTTATTAAACTATTTGTTTGTTATACCAATTAATATAGCATAAAATTGTACCTAATTATCTGTATTTTAATATTATATAAGTTTTGAGTTCCCAATTCTACAAGGCAATATTTGAAAAAATCCTGAATTTCCCGTAGTGTGACACTCATGACATATTTTCTCTAGATATCTTGTCTTCTCTATTTTATCCACCACCCCTTGAAAAAATATAAAGTTATATGTAAATTAATCTCTGTAGAATCATCAATGCTCAAACAAATCATAATTTTTATAGCCTTCAATTTTGTTTGGCTACAGAGCTATAAATAGAAAATTTCACTCCTTCTGCCACACCTACCTGTTACATCCTCTCTTTCAGGCTTTGTTAACTTTTTACTTTTAATTATATATATTATGTATAACCAATAGAAAGTCAAGGTTTTCATTTATCAAATGACATATTGTATAATGTTGTGTTCTGAACAGATAAGCGTCAATTTCACTTAAGCTTCATTCCCATGGGAAAGTTAATGACTAGCTTGGATGAATTTGTACCAGCTTTTGTCATATAGCTAGAAAGACAAAACAGTTTGAAGAGTTAGAGGAAATTGTTTGCTTTTTCCATGTTATTAGTCTGTTATTTGGTGCAGTATTTAATTAAATAAAAATTAGTTAATGCACTACTACTATTAATGTAAAATATGTATAATCGACAATTGACAGCAAGAAAAAAGAAGATTGGGTAAGTAATTTATTTCTTGTTTTTCATATTTATTCTTTATTTATTATTATATAATTAACTAAAATGTAATAATAGGGATCTTTTTAGGTTAGTCAAGATTAGATTAGGTAAAATAAATATAAATATTAACATAATAAAAATGATTCACGGGGCATGCACACAAGCAGCTTATAGATAATGTACTTCGATAGTGTAACAGGAGCTGCACATGCTCCGAGTGATTTACAACTTATTATGGCACGGATAGTAGTCAGACACGGTTCAAAGTGCAATAAAACAAAAAATTTAGTTATAAATACATGTATACTATTATGAGCTTAAAGCTACTTAGGATAAACTAATGTAGTTTCATGTTATAATTGGAAGTCATTCTAGCAATAAAAAAAAGGGTTATTTAGATTTATTCCTTTTTTTTTTGGTGGTTACGAGGTCAGTCAAATTGACGGATCCAATTTTGAGTTAGGGTAAAAAAAAATAACAGATAAAATGTAAAGTTTTCCTGGAAAAAAACGTTTGAAGTATATTTAGGAGGTCTTAGGGATTACAAAAAGGAAATTTGAGATGAGGAAAAGTATTTTTAATCTAACACGAAAATTACTTTGCACATGGACTATTCAAAGCAAATACTCAATATATTAATATATTTTAGTTTATTAATAATACTTCACTAAATATGATTTTTTGTATGTGAAAGACAGTGTTAACTGAAAGACTGCCAAATTTTGTGAAGATATTTTAATACAATATAAGTTTTAATTTCAGTAGGAAATATTTAAATTCTCCACCTTCATTTTTCTGTTTCATATGACACTTTTTTGCTCTGAATTACCCATTTGATATTCTTACTACCCCTATAAGATGTCCCTAGTTTAACATAAATCTCTCATTTATAGTATAGGTATTTCTAGTACAATGATCTAAATTAGTAGCATCCAATCTTCTTGCTTTATGAAGATGTAAACCAGAAAGAGTAAAAAAACACTAGAGACTAGACATAAGAAATATATTTCTTGTTTTATATCTATTTTTTATTTATCATTATAAAAGTAACTAAAATGTAAAAACAAAACTTATTATGTTAGACAAGAAAGTAAAAAAATGTAAATAAAAAAAGTTACATTCTCAGCAAGGTATGCATATGAGCTACTGGTTCATAACATAATTAAATACTTTGTTTACCATAACATGAGCCATGCACTTGCTAGGTGATTTATGATTTTTTTATACACAAGTTTAGTAACTATACACAGTTCAAAGAGCAGTAAAACACTAACATTGAATAAAAACAGATGTAAACTGTTACAAACATGAGGGTCCACTGGTTGAAGAGCAGTAAGTCTATGGCATAACAACACTACAATCTGGGATTCAATTCTGGTGGTGGACACAGCAGGTAGCCCAATCTGGCTTTGCACTGAAACAAACAAACATGAGGCTGTTTAGAATAAATAACTGTAATTTTCTGTTAAATCTGCAGCCATTCTAAAATGAAAGAAGGGTAGTTAGGTTTGTTTGTTTTTTATTATTGTGGTTATAAGGTGAATCAAATTGACTAAGCTTGTATATTTTAGTGTAGAGAAAACAAGTTTTACCAAAAAAATTCGATATGCATTTAAATTTGAAAACTGTAAGATGAAGTATTTTTATCCTAACATTAAAATCACCTTACACTCAGATTAATTAGACTCTGACTTTATAAATTCATAAATAAAACCTTCAATGATGATGTTTAATGAAATAAATTTTTAGCATCTGATGATAAAAGATTATAAGATATAATTAATAATCTTTACCTATAACTGTGATATTTTGTTACTTATTAATTGAATGAATTTTTCCTGTGCTATAGAGTGTTTGATATTCAGTGTTGAACTACATTCTCTTGTATTAGGAACATATAATTCATGCTTGGAAAGAGGAACAAGAAGTTTTCCACAATAAATTAATACATTATTATCAAGAAAAGGTTGGAGTTTTACTTGAAGACTACCTTCGATCTTTACCAGAAGGTAGGCCTGGTTGTTATTAAACTGATGTAAATCTTCAGTGGTTACTCTAAATTATAAGATTATATTGAGAGACTTTAATAAACTGTAAGTAGAAACTTAAGGAACATGTGCAATTCCTTTTGACCCATTGGATACGCTTTTTAGGGGCTTCTCATTGCTGTTTATTAGTTTATTCTTAATGATCCAAGATGAGTTTTCTCACTTATGAGAAATATTTTTGAAATGCCACAGAACTATTGCAATTATACAGTGCTAGAAATGTACAGTATTAGAAATAATTATGTAAACTGAAAGTAAATAGGGTTAAAAGGCAAATACCACAAGAATGGCACCTCTTTATAATATGAAATTAAGTGCACAAAGATAGTCAAATCATCATAGTGTAATACAAAGTAATTAGTTGTCATACAATCAACTAATAAGTACCACACCAGAATAAAGCCTATAACAGTAGATGCAGTTATTCTATGTCTAGGCATACTAATGTAAATCAAGCTATGGCTCTCCGGACTGAAATACAGCATGACAAGCATATAGAAATCAAGACAGTGAACCCAAGCAATGTTCCTCTTAAATTGTTCAAATGCATGGCGTTGCAGCAATCAGCCAAATACTATGCATTAAAACAATGGGGTGCTCATAAATTATTCAGTTGGTAATAGTTTCTTGTGGAAGGCATAGATCTATAGTTTAAATAATACAGTGTTCAAGTGCAAGGCAGGAATATAGGCACCAACAGCCATTCAGTAAATGTGCTGTTCATATTTTAAAGAGAAATGGCTTTTGTAAATTATGGAAACTGAAACTGCCTATTCTACCAGTATTCTATTTGTATTCTACCAGTACAAAGAAAGATTAGAGGCAACATTGAGCCCAAGCCTACAGCAAATGTGGAGAAATGTTATTTTAATGGTAAAGAGGATGATGGAATACTCGCAAACTTTACAACCAGTACAAAGTCCGTATATATGCACATTCTTAAAGCTGTGTGGACTTGTATAAAACCTGGGAAGATCAAAAGGCAATCGTACAACCAGTGGCAAAAAACTTTGGGTGGCAAATGCCCCCCTGTAGTGCTGCCACTGCATACAACACAGGAAATTTAGAAATAATCTACAATCATACATTGATAAGCTGTATAACAGAATAAAAACAAGTTTTAATCTCCCTGTTTAAAACAAATGATTTACCAGTGTGTTGTACAACATACATACTTTTCTTTGCATTTACTGTGATAATGTTTTGTACTGTTAATAAACTACACTTGTAGTTTCTGTTACTTGTTATTTGTGACTCCTGTATATCTGTTGCTTTTATGTTTCCATAATTATTTCCATACTGTAATTATGATAGTTGTTGGCTGTATGAAAGTTTTGTAGGCTTAGTATCGTTATGAATAATAGTGAGATACTTAGTTTCTTTCTTTTTTGCTATGTTAGATTATTCATTGTTTTTATTTACTCAGGACAGTTGCCAGTTTTGGCAGGAAGTGAACCAGGTGAACTTGGAGAATTTCGAACAAAGTTGTTAAAGTTTCTTGAAACATCATCAAGATACACAGTTGAATCATTTCCTTCAATTTTGCTGAATTATGGTAAGGGTTTTCAATTTTACACATTCATAACATAATTTTGTACTGGATCACATGGTGAGGATTTTAAATTTTACACATTCATCACAGATTTTTTATCAAATTATTGTGAGGATTTTCAGTTTGACACATCAATTACAGATATAGTATGAGGAGTTGCATTTTTGTTTTTTTATTTGTGGAATAATCTGTGATTATTAAAGCTATAGTTGCTGTTAACATTTGGGCTTTATAAATGAGGAAAATTAAAATATTTTTTGTGTTTTTTAATTAAAACCATTGATGCATGTAAGATAAACTTGTGAACATAATTATTTGCCTGATGGAGGGAGAGGGGAAGCCTGCTTTATTAAGAAGTAGTGATAGTACTATTCAGTATTTCAACTCGTCTGGACCTCTTGTGTTAACCAGTGGTTCTTAACCTTTTTTGCTCCATGCCCCACCTCGGTACCTCAAAAAAAATTTGATGCCACCTTAATATAAAAACAAATTTGGTATTGAAAAGGTATAATAATATAATGTAAAATTTAGAAATTTACCAAAAAAATAAGTTTAATTTTCCTTATTTTAGCATTTTCAAATTGCCCTCCTGTGGGGTGTGTGCCTCACGTTCAGAATCACTGATGTAAACCAAATCTGTAGCATGAACAACAAGCATGTTCTAAGAAACATGAGTGATGATTTTTAAAGCACAGTGTGGAAAACTTGATTGCACTACTTTAATACAATACACGTATTCTACCATATTGCATCATAATGCACATTTTTTTCAAAGTTGCTAAATCTTGGAAATTATGTTCTCTGCTTCTTTTAAACCTCTCGCTAGGGGTATTGCTATGGTCAGGGGTCAAAGGGCGTGTCATCATGTTTGTAGACTTGCATTCAAAATTTTATCAATCAACTATTTTATGAATGTATGCCAATATGTTTGATATCACATTGTAGATTATAATTCAAAATTTAGTGTTATACATTAGTTAATTTCTTGATTTCAAAGTAAATATTAAATTCATAAATATCAATGTTTGTGTATCACGTGGTACGCTGAGTACAGCTTTGGTTCAAATTATATGTTCGTGATGTACAAATACAAAGTATAGTTTCTTATGAACTAGAAACTCAAATTACTGATATTGACAAGCTAGAATATAAAATAAGAACTTCCTATCTTTTCTATTTGCTGAAATATTGCTACATTTAATGAATCAAACACAGTGGCCCTGCTCACCTCTTTCCATTTTTGGAAGTACTTGCTTACCTAAACTTACTTCTGTCTATGATGTGTGAATAACCAATCAAAAGCTCATAAGGTCCCCGTGGTGGTTTTCTCAGTCTCGAGAAGGTGGGAAGTTCCCTAGATTATTTCTTTCTCTTGAATTGCCGAAGGATGTGGTAAATAAAAATGTTGTCTGAAAAACTATCTTTTTTACTCGATTACAGTTTAGTTAGTAAGCCTGATAAATTACAGTGGAATTCTGCAATATTGACAGAGTAAGTTATAATATTTGTTTAATTCAAAATGCATATATAAAACCTAAAAAATTACTTTGTTTCCATGGGCAATATTTGACAAGGCTTAGCAAGCTGCCAAATGAGTACAAAGTTTGAAAGTAGAAAAAAAAAATAATTGTTTTCTATATTTCTTTATTTACTGTTCTGTATTTTAAGAAAAATAATTGAAACTTAACTTATTTTTAAATATTAATAATATATATGCTTATGTAATGTATTATAACCGAAATATGACTGTTACAAAATACTGGCTCACTTAGAACAAAACAAAGACAGGGCACTTTGTAAAGGCCATTTTTGTACAGTTGGATACAGTAATATAAGTGCACATATGCTGCACCATTGTAATTTCTGTAATGTTAGTTAGACATGGCTGAAAGATCAATGAAATAAAAAATTTATATATAGATGTACAATGTTGTGAGATTTAAGCTATTTAGAGTAAACATTTGTTGTTTCATGGTGTAATGTGTAGTCATTCTATAATGAAAAAAGCATAATTTATATCTATTTTGCAATTTTCTGATGCATAAAAGTATTTTTAATCATACGATCAAAATTACTTTGCATGTTGGATATCAACATTCAAAGAGAAAAAAATGAACAAGCAAATCATGACTTAAAATATCTTAAAACTTAATTTAAAATAAACTGATATTTTGTGTACTAAAACCTTGTAATGTTTACTGATAATCTGCAAAAGTTCGTGAAGATATACTTCCTGTAATAAAAGTTATAGTTCAAAAACTATAACAAGTACAAAATGGTTGTGAGGTTGGTCCCTCGGAACGAGCGCGTAATGAGAGAGTTAAAGCTGTGACTCATGATTGTGACAAAACATGACTGGTAAGAACCTCAACTTACACTTTTCTAGTATAGATATTTTAGATTTTAAGTATGGTTACAAAATTAGTGCCCCATGATTTGATTGCTTAATTATATAGTAATGAAGTCCTGTAGTAAATGTGTGGAATAGGTTTAGTTAATTGTATTCTATGATCAATTATATGGCTGCACTGATATATTGAAAACAAAAAATAATACTAATACCAATATATATATATATATCCTTATGAACTGATATGATAATGATATCAATACAAAATTGACCAAGTTATAACATTAAAAGCAGCAGTAGTATTGCTGTAATTCTTTAGTCTTTAACAGTGTTCTGTGATAAATGTAATTAAATTTTACTGTGTAAATAAACATCTCACTTGACAAAATGTCCGGTATTATCCAAGTTTCATAGGATTTGTAATTTTCACTGAACATAAATTTTACTTGAAAAATTAATGTTTCTATGCAGTACCGTGACATAGGCTGTTATTTACAACCTCAGGTATGATGCTTTAGCAAGCTGAGTCGTTGAAGTGAGCTTATCCAAGCAAGTTTGTAAATTCTTTTGAAAATGTACCTATCAGCATAGTTTCTGATTGATTCTTTGACCTTAGTTATGGTGAAAAGACCTAAACCACTATTCTACACATTTGATTTGCATTCTCACTTGTATTCTATACATATTGTATATTTAAATATCTGTATTTTGTTAATTTCCTAACCCTGAATGCCTATAGCTATATCACAGTTACAAAAATGTTACTCAACAATACATGCTTTTTGGGAAATGCTTTGTATACAGGTTCAGTGTATTATTGACTTTTCTTATCAATACTTGGTTTTTCTAACTGTCCTGTTGGAAATATAAATACAGGTTGACCATCACTAGTTCAGCAATCAGTAATCCGGCACTAATTTCGGCTAGAACAATTTCAAATATAGTAAAGCAAGATATGCGCTATTAGGTAAATACTTTAGTCTCGCTTGAAAGTTTTCTTTCCAATATTTTCTTTGATTAAAACTTAAAGAAAACCCCATTTTATGGGATATTTTAATTTTAAGATGAGGTGGTTAGCTAGTGGGCTTGGTGTATTCTAACTTAATAGATGGCTAATCCGGCACCCTCCAGGTCCCGATGATGCCATATTAGTGATAGTCAACCTGTATATGCTTTAGAATTAAAATGAGAATTTATTGTAAAAGAGTTGTCATTTCATCATATCAAGATTTAAACCATTAAGATATGATTGTGTTTATTTAGCAACCATTAAAACCTTGTAACAACATTAACCTAATATTGTCATTGTATTTGCAAGTTTTTTTTCCAATTTCTTAAGCAAGATATTTTTATGGAAATGTCATTGATAGTTTAAACTTGTATGTGAAATGTGTTAGAAAAGCCTGTACAGTACTGTAAAGGGGTAATAGTTCATACATAGTTCAAAGTACAAGTTCCAATCATAAACCGGAAACTAACTTGTTCTGTTTTACATTCTCCTACCTGTAAGGTGTCATGGCCTACACAGGATCTGGTAACATAAAAATGTGTATCATAACAGTGTTTAAAACTGACTGATAGCCTGAAAAACTGTTTAATGATGAATGGTTGTAGATGATTACAAAGAAATGTACAGTTACATTATCATATTGATATCATTTTTCTTTTGTTGTTGGTTACATGGACAATGAAACTAATACAATAGAGGAAAGGCTGTATTAGAAGCTGATACCAATATATATATATATATCACTACAGCCCTAATGAGTTCTAAAGGTGTTGCTTGAATTTAATTAATTACTTGTGGTTATGTTTTGTTTTTTTTTCTTTCAAGGGCTGTATGATGAAGCAGGTGTGGTAATGGAAAAGCTTGGTCGTCATGAAGAGGCTTTAGCTATTTACTTCCATATTTTGCAGAATTCTGCCAAAGCTGAGGAGTAAGATTTGATTTGATTCTAATTGCAATACCTATTGATAATAAGAATATAATTATTAATAAAAAAGTAACCAACCTTGTGCTACATTATCTTATTATTGAAATTATTTGTGATTATAAATTTAGAAAGGGCAGTGAGGGGAAAAAAAACTAATGTTATAGATTACCAGTTTGGATGTATTAATTGATTTGAATGAAACAAGTATGATCAGTAGAAAAAGTTTAGAAAAAACAAACATATATCTTAATATTCCAACTTAAGTTTATCTTTGACAGTTTTCATAACAAAAGTAATTTAAAAAGTTTTAAAATTAAAGAAATTTAGAAAATACTTTTATGTCACAACTTTGACAGATACAGGAGTTTTGCTGAGAAGGGATTGTACTACCATTAGTCTATGAAACCTTTTGAAAAATAATTGCTTTCCTTATTAAGTGTAAGGGTACCTTTGTTTGGTTGCCCATTGGAAAGGGCACTGGGATTGTAGTCCCTTCTGGATCTACTCCTGCAACTGCTTTCAGCTATAAGTGTACTTTAATTGTTTCTTCTCGTGTAAACCTAGTGCCAAAACCAATTGTCACAATTTTCTTGAAAGATTAGGAATTTTTATTTGTAATTTGAAAACAGTTAACTGTACATTTTCTCCACCAGTAAGAAAGGTGTTTAGTCTTATTTTTTCAACAGATATTGAAATTGAAATAAGGACTTTGTTAAAGGATGTCGGTTTTGTTTGATGTAGTTTTTAGTGTTCTTTTTTAAAACTTATAAAACAGAGTTAGTTTTGAAATATACTTTAGAACAAGATTAATGTTTCTGTTGTTGTTTTCTGTGTGTAAGATGTAAAACACGACACTAATTGGATTTTGTGAAATCTTCCTGTACAGTTTATACATTATTTGGTAAATTCTCATTATAGGTATTGCTTGAGGAATTACAGCACTGACAAACCAGGAAATCAAGATGTAAGTTTAATGCTAAAGAGAAACAAAATCTGGTATAGAGCAGTAAATTAAGTAAAGGATGAACGTAGTGAACGCTAAAATGGAAATATTTCAACAGAATTTTACCATTTGTTACAAATGATATTAAAGTCTTGAAACTATTTGAATTCATTTTTGATCCTTTATTTGTATAAAATATGCAACTTAGTATAAGCAAGTTTTATGTTATGTTTCAACAATAGTTTTCTTTCAACAGAATTTTACCATTTGTTACAAATGATATTAAAGTCTTGAAACTATTTGAATTCATTTTTGATCCTTTATTTGTATAAAATATGCAACTCAGTATAAGCAAGTTTTATGTTATGTTTCAACAATAGTTTTCTGTTACTATGTTTGTCATTTCTAGGTTTTCTTGCTTTTGCTGAAGATGTACCTGGGTGTAGCTAAGGGTGGAATATCCACAATCTTATCAGGGTCTCATTTTTCATCTCACACTCCACAGAAACCTGATATCAAGGCAGCCTTAAATATTCTGAATAACCATGCCACAAAGATAGACCCTCTGAAGGTAATGAACCACGTAATTTTCATGCTACAAGTACAGACCTATTAAAGGTAACTAACAGTCAGGTTGTCTTGTTACAAAGATAGACCCCCTGAAGGTAACTAATCACCAAGTTATGCAACAAAGATAGATCCTCTAAAGGTAACTAGTTACCAAGTTGTGTTGAAACAAAGGTAGTCTCCTCCTGATGGTTGTTAAAAGACAAATTATCATGAAAAAAAGATGTTTTTTTGTGGAACAACATGAGGTGGGCTTAGATAGATCATTATGCACGTGACTGTATTAAATTTTGTTTCATTGACAAGGCTGCTTTTGTTAGGTAATGTTTAAATTATGCCTAATCAGACTAAGTAATTTCTGAATGGACATAGAAAATCACCAAACAGAAATCTAAAAAAAAAATAATGTAACTTATTGTAAAATGGGCTTAAAACATATTACATACATTAAATAAAACTTTCCGATTAACGTTGTTAAACAAAAGCTAGCTCACTTATTTTTGGTATGGTTATTTTTAGTGTATGCCAGTGATTGCACATAATCTCTCACAGTTTTACTGTGTATCTGATGTTTTCCAAATTAAAACAAAAGATAAAATTAACAATCTTATAAAATAATAACTTCATAAGAAAGTTCTACAATAACGTAGTAAGACATAGAAATCAGTAATTGGAATTTATAATAAAGGTAAGCATTTTTATATCTTAAGAGAAGTATCACAAAGAAATATTTTTGATTTTCAAAGCTCCAACTTTAAAAAGAGTGCTATGTAAAAAAAAAATATGGAGAGAGACTTACAGAAGCTACATAGTTTATGGAAAGTTTGTCTCAAGTTTCAAAATATTTCCTCTTTTTATTTATTTATTTGCATATATACATATATATATATATATATTTGTTGTTGTTGCAATGCAGTAAAATATATAGTACACAAATGCTTGAAAGAGATGCCCTTTGGTATTTTAGAGTTAAAGAACAGAACTTCATCTTATAATTGATGTTCTCGTATGCATCCTTCCTTTCATTCTTCATCCTAATGTGAGCTCATCTATTGCCTACTATCATTGCTATTATAATTTACTGTTTCAAAACCTTGTTTTTAATAAATATTATGGCAGTCATGATTTTCAATTACTGGTTTGATTAGTAATACTTGAAAAATAAAATTTGGTAGTTCTGAAATTTAATTTTATATTTTATAGCATGGTATTAAAATTATTTGACGACAGTAACATCTGTCTATGCTGCTCAATTTCAGGCACTAACAGTGTTACCATCTAGCATCTACTTGTCACAACTACAAAAGTTCTTTGAGCGTATCCTCGATGAACAGTTGGCTAAATGCCATAGTGCTGAACTAATGAAAAGTTTGCTGTTGGCTGAGCATCTTCAGGTATGTTCAAATTACTCTTCATGTCTCATCTCTCTGACTAAGCATTTACATGCGTGTTGAAATTACTTTTCATGTCCAAGCTTTCTAGCTGAGTGTCTTCAGGTATGTTCAAATTACTGCTAATGTTTCATCTTGTAGCCAAGTGTCTTCAGGTATGTTCAAATTACTGCTAATGTCTCATCTTATAGCCAAGTGTCTTCAGGTATGTTCAAATTACTGCTAATGTCTCATCTTGTAGCCAAGTGTCTTCAGGTATGTTCAAATTACTGCTAATGTCTCATCTTGTAGCCAAGTGTCTTCAGGTATGTTCAAATTACTGCTAACGTCTCATCTTGTAGCCAAGTGTCTTCAGGTATGTTCAAATTACCGCTAATGTCTCATCTTGTATCCAAGTGACTTCAGCTATGTTCAAATTATTCTTTTTTGTCTCATCTTTCTGGTCAGGCATTTGCAGGTATATAAAAATTACTTTTGTGTTCATATGTTTCCACTTTTTTTCACTATGATCAGTTATTTGACAATTTCAGGTATTCACATTTTCTTAGTATTTGTTTTATACTACATGAAACAAGAGTGATAATCATTTTCTTAAACTATAGTAGTTTTAAGTGCTTTATTGATTGGCAGATAATTCACTTAGTTAACTTGTCATCATTCTCATACACACAAGCTGGTGATATTGCTTTAGTCCTTCCATGGTGTTGATTTTGTTATAGTCCTTTTACTGAGTTCTGACTAACCATTTCACTATGCAGCTTCTTCAGAAACATTCCATTAAAACACAAACTGTAACTGACATTATTGTCAGTTATGGTTTGTGTTTAGTAGAATGCTTCTAAAAAAGCTTCAAGATGAAATATTGAATGCCCAGTTACAGAAAATTAACAAATTTGATGTTGTAAGGCTGTTTATTACTAATATTAAAATGTCTCTTTATATGCCAATATGCATCACAGAAATTAAATAATGCTGGTGATACTTTTTCCATCCTTCTATGGTGTTTGTGTTCTGTAGTCCTTTTACTGAGTTCTGACTAAATATCTTACATACTGGTGATATTGTTTCACTCCTTCCATGGTGTTGATATTGTAGTCCTTTTACTGAGTTTTGACTAAATATCCTTCATACTGGTGATATT